TAACCCTAGTCACCTCGTCGTAGTCACCGAGCGTGACTGGGGCTGGATTGTTCCGTGGGGGAAGTGATCCCCTGTAAAACCGTACAGAGGCATCGAGGCTGGCTTCAGGTCGGCCTTGACCAGGTTCATTCTATCGAAAGCGGACTGAACAGAATGTTATAGCGCTTCCATTGTCCACAAGCATTCTGCAGACTTATGACACCCTGTCAGGGGGGTGATCACCAAAGCATCCTCGTGGGGTGGGGCAGGGAGCTGCCTCCTTCTCCCAGAAGGTTACGGTTCCTCTTTTCGGGCTTTCTGAGGTCGCTGGAAGTGTTCATTACCCTGATCGGGTCGTGTGGTGCGCTTCGCGAGCAATCTTTCCTGCGCTCCTCGCGTGTTTCCCGTGAGGTGCGAACCTCCGAAAATTATGTTAACACTGTACCCGCTGCAGTCACGGCGCTTTTTCTTCGCTCCCTTGGTTTTCTTTGGGGAGTCATCAATGTACTCTTGAAGTGCCCTTCTTGATGAGCTTCAATAGCCTGCTTTAGAGCTCGGCATCATCAGTGTGGTGCCCATTTCCCGATGGTAACGGCGAGTATTTTTGTGTTTTGGCCGTAGCAAGGGTTTATGGGTTTGGGCTCACCGAGCAGGCTGGCCTCCTCGAACTTATCAAGGATGTCGATATGGACACCTTCAGGGAGTATATTGAGCCCCGTCCCGGTCGCGACGAGAACAGGAGCATAGGATTTTTTCTGCTCGTCGCGGGGTTTTTTTTCCCTTTTCGCTGATCGTCAGCGTCTCCTTGCGGTCAGCTCGCTGTATCTCCCGACAGTACTGCTGGAAGTGCCGCGATCGCGAGGCGGAGTGCGCCCAGCGAATTCTCTATTTGGAGTACTTTTCTGCCAGGTTATAGAACCTGGTGAGGGAAATATCGTCCTCAGCCTGCAGTTCTTTCCACAGGTCAATTGCGGGCGAACTCAGCATTATAAGGGTTCGGATGGACTCTTCTGGAGCGTGAGCCACTTTGTTGAGTTCCCTGTGGAACGGTCAACGTAAGACGCAGGGATTCGTCTCTTTCTTGCTTAGTTGCTGAGGTAGCAAAGGCATTGAAAATTTTCGGTTGGCTGGAAATGCCGCAAGAAGTGCTGCTCATCTGAGGCCACGAAATCCGATCCCGCTGGGAGCGACCTTAACCACCGTTTAGCGTGAGAAGTCAGCATCACGGCCAAACACGACATTCGCAAGGTCGAACCTGGTGGGCTCCATCAGGTCGTTGAATTCATATAAATGATCCTGCGGATCATGTTCCATCAAACGGCCGCATATCTGGCATTCTGAACCCTGGTGGGAGGTGAGCGGCTAGTACTTCAGGAGAAAATGGGGATGTAGAGGCGACCTGCACCTGTGTTTTTGCTGCTCCCTTAACTGTCCAGAGCTCGCTGCAGTCCTCAATTTGTGGTAACGGAGCCATACCTGGGTTGCTTTCACCCATGTGAGCCCGCTCGGTTGCGGTTCAGGAGAGTTCGGAGGGGGATCCCTCTCGCCTCGGCGGTATTCCCAGCCGCGCTTGACACAAGCTGACTAGAGGCGTGTGAAGACGATGTATGTGCGGGGCATTTTCACGACCCTCGCGGTGGTATGAACCGCCCCGCGAGGTGTGGGGGCCAGCATGAGAACGATGGGATTGTTGCTGTTGGTGGTCGGAATCATCGCGCCCAGCATTTCGCTTGTGGTTTGCTTGCGACGTGGCATGGGACAGCTCGGATTTACTTTTTCACCGAGTCTAGCTTTTCCGATACCGCTGGGGCACCTTTGTATTCGCCGGCCTTGGGAGCCGCTAGGCTTATTTTTTGCCACTTGCTACCCTTGCGCTTACGCGCTGCAGTGCTCGCGGCAGGGCTAGCGCCTTTGCGCGCTTTCGCGCCACCTGAGGGCGTTTTGGCGGTTGTACCGCTCCGGCTGTGTAGATGACATGCCTTGGTCCAGAAGGTCCAACCTCTGGTTAACCGTTAGAGAGTATTGCGAACCTCTCTAGGTAGCTTTTGATGGTGGGGTCCAGTTGCGGAGCGCTAGGGTATTCCCAGAACATTTGCGAAAACTGGAGGTATGTTGGAAGGGGTGTCCCTCTGAGCTGGGGGGACTCTTTCCGCATGTGGTTCCCTGCTCAGGTTCAGATTGGCGGGCCATGTGAGCTGTAGGATCAGTAGGTCAAAGATTCTCCTAATGAAGGGTAGACACTAAATATGCCCTCTCTAGCGCCAAAACTGTGATGTCGTTTAAGCACCAACGAATTTCACGTGCGTAACGTTGATTGGTTGTTAAATACAAGTGAAAATGGATATATAGAGCGAAATAAAATGCAAATGGAGTTTTTAAGTGGTTCGGATGCTAAGGTAGCAAGTCCTACGTCCACTTATTTGTATGATATTAGTGTGGGTCAGGTCGCAACTGCGGACTGACTTACAAAAGAGTGGAAAAGAAAAGTCTTTACAGGAGAAAGAGATTTTCTCTTTGTATGAAAATGCCGAATCCTTAATGAAGGGGTCTTCTCATTTTATATCAAAATGAAGCGTGTAATCATCATTAAATCCATGGTTTGGTGTGATTGTCAGGATATAATCCGGTTACGTCCCATTTTTCCTTTCCAAGCTGACTTCGCACGACTTATTGCAGGGAAATGGACGCGTGTGAGTCCTATCATTTGGCAGGTCTGCGTGTGCGTGTTGCTCTGACGGGAGCAGGTCACCCTTCACGTGAATCCCACGTAGCCTTATTTTCCCGGCATAACGAAAATATTGCAGTTGTTTTTTCAGATTTGAAAACAGTTAATTGAGAATGGCCAGGTAAAATGCTTTACAACTTCAATTAATTTTTACTTTATCCCAAGGGAAGAATACAATTTTTTTCGTAAAACATCGATCATTATGGTATAAATAACAATGAAGAAGGTGTGTTAATTCTATTAATATATTATGAAATTTATAATTATGGAGAGATGATGGATTTTTCTTAATTTGGAGCCATGAGAGAATGAATTTTCTATTAATATATTAAGTTACCATTTAATTACAGTTCATTAAACATACTGTTGTAGCATTAAGTTTCTTTAGTCTTCGATTAATTCTAGACGTCTTGAAAAACCAAATATCATAAGCAGTAGAAACAACCTGAAACTTAGAAAATCCAGCTTTCTTACAGAGGGTTTCGAATTCTTTTGTCGTCCTCTCTTTTCCTTCAACTTGTGTTAACATAGCGTTATCGAGTCTCGAAACATGTATAAAACTCTTGCTTGACTCAGCCACTCAGGTATTTCAAGCAATATTTGTGGTTATAGTTATCAGGTTTCTTTTACTTGGTAACAATGCATAGGAATTTTTTATAACTTTTGCGCAGTTTTCATCATTCCAACTGTGGCATACGTCCTGCAGCTGCAAGGAATATATTATTTTGAGAATTAATCACTTAGCTATATATACGCATGTGGATTTTCATATCAATAAATTGATAAAACTCACCTTAATCATGATACATTTTTTATTAGAAAACATTTGCAATGATAATTTTCACTTTTTTTTTAACCACTCAATTGAAGTTGGATAAGTTATCCAGAAGTTTTGTATACGAGTCCCACAAATGACCACTATTAAGACTTACCTGACCCATTAAGTTTGTAAGGTGTTTAATAGATCTTATAGATTAGTTGAAGTATACGACAAGTTGACCTATACACTCTGGTCACCAAAAAAAATAGAAAAAAAAAAACTTTGACATGTTTTTATCAAATAGACCCTTAAAGTTTGAAAATAATATCATATATACTCTTTTGCTTTAACTCCATTTTTGTGCAGATCACTTCATACTTTAAAACATGGTTGTTAGTATCCTACGATACCCGATACGTATCATACGATACGATTCGATACAGGTCGTCAACGATACATATCAAAGAGTGTATCCTAAACCATTCGATACGTTGATATGTATCCTACGATACGATACGTATCCGTTCGTATCCTTAAAAATATCGATATAAATCGATACGAATTTATTAATTTGAGCCAAAGGTCCAAAAAAAATTCCAGGTCGAAACCAGGTCACCCAACCCGATTCACTAAAACTTGTCCAAATTTACCTATTTTGTATGGAGAAAGTGAAGAGGAATATATATTGCCCATTTTACATGATAATAATAATATAAGTGGAGATATAGATATTGACATTGATCTTGATCTTGAAATTTTGTGATTAATTTTGATTATGTAATACCATAATTTAAAGTCAATAATACCACAAAATTCTTTAATTAGTCTTGGGGATTATATTAATTTTTAGAAAATTTTGATTATTTTATTAATTTTTTTGAAAAATGTGTATCTTATGATACGATACTATACGCGATACATGATTCAAAAAATTAGATTTTTAATACACGATACGATATACGATTTGATAATCATACTTTAAAATATTAACTCTATAAGGCTTTATTTATTTTCATATTGTATTATTTTATATTAAATGAATTTCGGGTACATTTATCTATGTTTGACCCATATAAATATGGGGAGTCCACCATCCAATCTAACTATTTACGGCGCGTTTAAGTGATCTGGCCCAAGTGTCGACTTTACTGCACTNATAAAAGTTCCAATTATTATTATTATTTTTTTTTTTTTTTTTAGTTTTTTTATCACAGGCCATTACAGGGGTGATTTATGAAATAAAAAATTCTGAAAGCAAGTTACGGGAGGATGGCTTGTGATTAAAAAAATCGAAACTTTTATACGCATGATATTAAACCAAACCTCGAGGTGGTTTCTGAAAATTTTCCTAATTTCAAGCATATAAATATTTCATTTAAAACATTTTCATACAACAATTCGCCACTGTAACTAACTAATTTCCAAGGAATAATTTACATAAACCGAAAATTTCAAGCTCGAAATTACATATTAATTTCCATAACTTAAAATCACAGAAAATTAATTAAAAGAAATGCTTAATTAAAGCAAACTAACCGGCGAGTTGGACGGGATCTTGTTGGGGAGGCGGGTCGGACGGGGGCGGGCCGGGACTAGCGGCGAGACAACGGCGGAGGCGAGGAGCACTTGGAGACGTACGGATGAGTTGGAGAGATGGTCGACGGGGATGAGGCGGAAGCGAGATGGACGGAGGAGATTGATTTGTGTGGAAACCCGTAAACGGTGATTTAAGGCGTGTGTACGGCGTCGGAGAAAGAATGTCCATTTTGATTTTTTTTTTTTTTTTATTTCAGATTTTCAGTGTGTGATATAGTGAAAAAGTATGAGGTGGGTTGGGCTTAGGGTTGCTGATTGTTGGGCCCAAAATTTACCCGCATTGTTGATATATATATATATATATATATTTGCATTGTTGATAAAATTTGATAGCGTCTGCATCCGTAGTTTTATACGTTGATTCAATAGGACTATTACAATATCATTAAATTGATATTAAAATATCAATTATATTGTATGTTTAATTTACTCTTTTACACAATTTTTTATTTAAGTTACCAATTTCCTTTGCATCTTCTCTTTGATGTGATATTACAACGTTTTACTCTTGTCTATTATTATTTTTTTTTTTTAATGACTAGGGGTATCCGAACTAGTTTACATGTACTTTAACTAATATCTCAAAGACCTTAGAATTATCGATTGAGAAAGAGTTTTAATGATCATCCCTATTAATAATCAAGAAGAAAATCAAATTTAAAACCTTTTGAATAATAGACCGAAGAATCTCTATTCAAACCATTCAATAGCTTTAAAAGTAGTTGTCCATTAATTTTATAGCCTATCTGTCCCAAAGTATTTATGAAACTTGAGGTGCAGATAGGATGCACGTAGCATTTATTCCTTGTTGGATACAAGACTATATTCAACTACCCATTTAATTCAAGTTATGAACATTCATAAGACAAAGGCAGCTTTCAAATTTCAGTGCCACTATAATTTAAGATAGAACCCGGAAGACAAAAAATGTTCCTTCCTTTTCGGCTTATAAGCATTTTGTTTATAAGCTAATTTAATCAAATATGTTATCATATTATTCTTATTTAATTTTAAAATTTTATTATATAATTTATTAATTGATAAAATAATAGTATCATTTTTAGTCATTTTAATAATAAAATATATTTATAAGCCATAATTTACTAAACGCGTGAACGATTTATTAATCATTTATAAGTATTTTAATCAAATATGTAACTGCTTAATATTTCAAATACTTATAAACTCAAATTAACTTATAAGCATTAGCTACTTATAAGCTAATTTTCATAAACTCAGCCAAACAAACTCCTTATTGGGTTGGGTAATGGTCTTTTTGTAGGATTGGGCATAACTCTTCTTTCCAAAGTGTCTGCCCTAATCAACTATCTCCCCTTGGGGCCCCACTGAGCCCTATTGCTTGGACTCGGAACACCATCATTGGCTATCCCTTCTCAAGGGGCCCATTGGGCCCTGTTACACGAACTCGAAAGGTGGGGCCTACTCTAATACTATTTAATGGTATCCCACTTTCAAATGATAGGAATTTGATTAAACAATGAGTGTTTGATAGAAATTATGTTGGATAGTAGTTTTTTTATAGACTTAAGTAGAACTTTCCTTAGAATACCGGCTTGTTAAAAGAGGGTATTTAACTCCTTTTAAACCACATATCCACCTAATTTTCCTCTTAACGGAGTGATCCTACCACACTATATTATGAATTTATAATCATCATGACAAGCTCCAAGTGCTCTATCTTGTTTTTATAATAAATTTATGTTGTTTTTATTATGAATTTATATTATTATTACTTGATATCATCTGAATTTATTTACGAATTTATTCATTGAACCAAACATGGAATTCGCATTTATGAAAATTTGATCTGTCTCTTTCCCAGTAATGGGGAGAGAGAGATTGAAACGACAAGTCTTTTCAATGTTAGATTGTACAGTATGCATGCATTAAAAATGAAGAAAACAAAAGCAACTACCCAGAAAAATTCTGAAACACCAAATATAATTTATTAAGTAAAGTAATAATTATTAACATATAATATTACATGTCTTAATAAACTATGTCACGGACAGCAGTATCATCCATCTTACACAGAACACACTCAACATGATGATGATGATGGTGATCAGAAGAAAGATGGAGATTCCTTCCCTCAGAAATTCACCTAATCATTATTTCTTGGAAGGAGACAACTAATAACATTTAATATTTGATAATATTAAAAAAAAAAAAATTCTAAGGCTCAAAGAGCTTATTGCCGCATTTGCATTTCCATGTTTGGAGATAGTAACTTTCATCATCTTCAAGATCATGATCTGATTTTGCTGATCTCTGACGACCCTTTTTATGGCAGGAGAAATAACAAGAGTCGCGGTACACGCCCTGCAATTGGAGCATTTGTGAACACAAGTCGGGGCCTTGAACCCAATCTCTTTTTCATTCGACAGAAAAACTCTTTTCATCATCAGGAACTTCACCAAAAACTGCAGAAACTAAAAAAAACAAAAAACATGCGAGTCTGAAACTAATAATAAGCTTGAGATAATTTTAATGAATAGGGTTAACATTAATTGATTCTTTACCTGATTTGAGTGACAGAAACGTATGAGCAAAAAGATGAAAGCCACAGTGAGAACTGCTGCTTCTGAGCCAAGTGGGTAGTTTTTCTTGAAGGATCCATCACCATGATTTGATAGAGTTTCTTTTTTCTTTTTTTTTTTCCCTGAAAGGTTACAGTGAAGAAAGGGAGTGAGAGAGAGAAGAACAGGAGGACGTTGAAAAAGGATTGGATATGGGTATTGATTAAATATGGGAAGGAATAGATGTGGAAGATCAGGATATATTTACAAAAGTACGGTGTTTTTCAAACACCGTTTTGCCTGTAGAAGAGGAGACACGACTCTGATTCCATGGCTTTTCACCAATCAAACACTTTCCTGTGTTGAAAATATTAACTCTTTCCCTTCGGAAATGGTGAAACTCTGAACTTTAGGCCTTTGTGAATGACTCGAGATACTTTAATTGGTAATTCATCAACCTTTTAAAACCATTTCATGACCCAATAAAAAGAATAATAAAATAAAGTACGAATAATTAGTTATAACAGGATTACTACTTAAAAAGAGAACTAACCTGCTTCTTAAATCACGGATAAATTAAAATATAAAACATATAATCTGTATAAAATAATAAAGTTTTTTGTTTCATTGAATACGATAAGAATATTTTTATTATCCCAAAAACTTTCTTTTTTAACTTGGTGAATAGAACGAAACATGGCAGAAGTGAACGTGGAAACTTACTTTTAAGTATAGAGAAAAATTTGTCGTTTCGGAAAACAGTTTGCATGAATACAACATAAAGATTGAGTATATATATATATATATATATTATGTAAATACACATCTCGTGCATTTCTTCAGGTGCCTTTATCTTTACGTACAGGAAATAGTCAGTTGTTTTTTTTTTATTATAAAACAGTTTTTGCAGTCTGCCAATAAATGAAGAACAGCTCCAAGAGTGGCCCAGGTGAAAATGAAAATGCTTTACACCTTCGTCTTTTTACTTACATCTCAAGGGAGTTTTGCTTTCTACCATCTCTTTAAGTACCAATTAACAGTAAAAATACTTCTAATAAGGTTAATCATATTTATGTCAAATTCAACTTGCAATTGTTGCAGTCTTCATATTGATACTGAATACTGCATATGTAATGCATAAGTGATAGTAATATATATCTAGTAAATGGTGTCGCAGTATGATCTTTAATTTCACATGATCAGAAGAAAGATAGAGATGTATACCCAATCAGTATTTGGGGGCGCACATTATGTTACGAATCCATTGGATACCGGCTTGTAAAGGGAGGACGCCCACGGTGGCCATCTTCCCAGTTGGATGACTTAACAATCTCTCTTGCCCACGGGTAACCCCTCCAGGTTGCCTCGCCCTCTACGAGGGCTGTGTCTACATGGTGGTTGGTCGCTCCGTTTGCTACGAGGACGGGTTCGCGGGATGGCTGGGTTTGATACAAATTGTTACAAACCCATTGGGCAGAAACTCACCCTTAAAACCAGCTTGTGAAGGAAGGTGTCCAAGGGTCGATAAACCACTCACTAATCGTGTGGATCCTAACAAAATTACATTCATCAAGTAGAATAACTAATTAATATTATTTGTATGTATTAATATTTTTAAATATTAATTTTCAAGCGTCATCATCCTATTTCCACATTTGCATTTCATACTTGACCATAATAATTCCCAATATCTTGAAGATCATGATTTGGAGATGCTCTTGAAAGCTTTTTACCGCCAGGAATACTAACAAGAGTAGCAGCACAAGGCCTGCAAATAAAGCACTTGTTTCACAATTTGGAGGACTTGTACCTGAAACTGCGACAAAAGAAACAAAAACATCCAAGTTTTAAACTAACGGAGCCTGGAAATTAATATAATGAATAGGGTTTGTATACTTTTTCATTCTTATCAGTTTTGAGTGACACAAACGTGAGCAAAATAATGAAAGCTACAGTGAATTTGCTTTTGGGCCAAAAAGGTAGTTTTCTTGAAAGTCACCGGAAGTAAGGGATGTATATACATTACTATTGAATGACTCTTCAAAATTAGCCATTAATAGCATATATTGTACATATATGATCGCAATTTTTTTATTTTTTTATACGATAGGAGTGTTCAGACAAGCTTACGCGTATTTTAATAATCATCGAAACCTTGAAACTATCGAGAGGTAAGGTTCCGTGACTATTCCTATTAATAACCTATGAGGGATTCGAACTCCAGACCTCTGAGTAATACACTCAAGAGTCTATTCGACTATCGATCATCATAATTGTGCCTAAGATAAATGATAACATAGCAAGATAAAGTTGAATCTTTAAATTAGTCCGCATGTCTTGAGTTCATTAATTTTTTCCTTTGATTTTCTCATATGATGATCAGAGAGTCAAACCTTCATCATCAATTAGACCAAATGCCTGAAAGTACGAACAATACTAAGTATATAGTTTACTGTAATACCTGAAGTAATCTGCCTCTTAAACTCATACACTAATTAAATTATTAATTGTAAATTAAACCATCCCAATTCATTGGCTCTAAAATTTAATTTTTTATATATATATATATTTATTATCCCAAAAACTATCTTTTTAACTTGGTGAAATGAAAAAAAAGTATCAGAAATTG